GATGCGCATGAGCATCCCCGGGTACAACGTGCTGGTGCAGCCGTTGACCGAGATGCTGGAGCGGGTGTTTGCCGCTGGTGGCGGTAAGAGGACCAAGCAGGCCGCTGCGGCCGTGCTGTTTGAGGACGTCGGCTGGTCGGTCGTGCACGAGGATTGTTTGGCCAAGACCAAGGCTGTGCTTGGGAACGTGGTGGAGCTGTGTCACCCGGACCCCCAGCAGCGACTTTGTGTGTTTGCTGTCGCGTCGGAAGGCCACTGGGGATCTGTGATCACGCAAGTGCCGCCCGACCAGTTGCACCGGCCGATTGACGCCTAGAACCACCAGCCGCTCATGTTCCTGAGCGGCACCTTCACCGGTGCAGCTGGTCGGTGTGCAATTGTGGAAAAGGAGGCGTATGCAATTGTTGAGACGTTGGTCCGAGCGAACTACCTCCTCCATCCCGCCGCCGGTTTCAATTTGTACACCGATCATCGCAACCTGAAATTTATTTTTAGCCCAACATTTTTGTGGCATCTGTGCCCAAGTACACGGCCCAAAACTTGGAACGGTGGGCCCTCTGCTGATGGGCTACAGTTATGTCATCCATGACATCCCCGGCGAAGTCAACGTCTGGGCTGACCTGCTGTCGCGCTTGGGGATCTACCCTCCCCAGCATATGTGCCATCAGCCAGCAGCCACGGCTTCTCGCCGTTGCGGGACGAAAAGTTTGTTTGGCCAACATTTGTGTCCATCGCCGAAGCCCAGGTGGTCGCCCCCGACGACGTCTTGTCGAGAATGACCAAGAGCCTGGACGCCGTCCACCTGGTGGTGCTGGCGTCTGGCCAGGCGTGGCCTCTACGTCTTGTCGACGATGTGATCTGGGTGCCCGTCGCCGCCGCGAGTTGCAGCTGCGGCTGTGCGTGTGTGCCCATGCAAGTTTGGCCGGCCACCGCACGGCCAAGGCCACGTTGGCCAGCCTGGAGTCGTTCTGCCAGTGGACCGGCATGAAGGGCGATGTCGAATTTTTTGTGCGTCGGTGCCTACATTGTGCCAGTGCATCTGGCGGTGCGCCGCGTCCGATTGGTGGGGCCCTCCACTCGACCGCACCCAATGGACTGATTCATAGGGACTTTGTCTTCATAGGCGCCTCCAAGACAGGCGACAAGTACCTGTTGGTAGTCAATTGTGACGCCAGCAAGATGGTTTGGTTGTTCCCGGCTCCTGAGGCCACGGCGACGTTCTTCAAGGACTGCCTCATGTAGTGATTCATCGTGTTCGGCGTGTGCTACGAGTGGGTCTCCGACCAGGGGACCCATTTCAAGAACCAAGTTATCGCGGAGCTCCAGCACGTGCTGGGGGCTCATCATCACTTCACGACTGCCCGCTGCCCATGGGCGAATGGCACAGTGGAGGTCGTGATGCGCCAGTTGCTGCGTCTATTCCGGGCATGTCTGAGCCAGTGGCGCATGGCGCTCGACCAGTGGCCCGAGGCCCACCTCGTCATCATGCTCGTGCTCAACCAGCTGCCTTCACCATCCCTCGGCGGTATGGCCCCCGTGACCGCCATGTCTGGCCGTCCGGCAATGTCGCCGGCTGACACGATAACGATGCCGGATCAGCTCATATTGGCCACGCTGGCCGAGGTGGAAGAAGGTCAACGCGAGAACATTGCCGCGGCTCAGATAGCGCTGGAAGAAATGCACAAACAGATGTCGGTAGAAAACGCAAGGAAGCGAGACCGCTCGCGGCAGTACCACGATAACAAGAAGGGCGTGCAGATGGCTCAGTTCGTTGTGGGGGACTATGTCCTCTACCAGGACGTATGGGCGCACTTGCGCCAGAAGTTGCGGACCAAGTGGTGCGGCCCGGCCGTCGTCACCGAGGTGACCATCAACTGGGTGTACGACGTCGAGAACCTGCTGACTCACGATGTTCGCCCCGTCCACGCCAGCCGCCTGAAATTCGACGCGGACTGTGACTTGGACATGACGTCCGAGCTGCTGGCCCACGTCGCCCACAACTCAGAAGGCTTCGAGGTCTAGAGGATTTGGTGGACGCGCGGTACGTCCCCATGACCAACGCTTACGAGCTGTTAATCAAGTGCCGTGGATCCAAGACGTGGAGAACTCGTGGGAGCCCGCCGACAACATCTTCGCCGATATACCCGTGATGTTCAAGACCTTCTGCAAGGCGGTCAAGTCCGCCGTAATCAAGAAGATGGCCGTTGCTTATGAGGTTAAGTAACTCGTGGGGGAAGTGATGTATTCGGGTCGAATTACTGAGACGGAAAGGAGTAGACCTGTGGTGCCTGCTCCTTGCCGTCCATTGGTCGGTACTTTTGGTGGTTGGAGTACCATATGGATTGGTAGAGTGTATATGACCCCTTTATCGGGTCTGAGAGTTTAGGTAGTTTGAGTGGCTCGTAGTCACTCACTTCGCCTTTTACCTTTGAATATTCCAGCGTTTTGGTTTTGAAGTGGTTGAGATACAACACCTCCAGTCCCCTCCACAACGATTGTGCTTGTAGCTTATCTACATGTGAAAGCACACAACCACCATTCTACGAGGTTAGGCCATCATTCACGACATCATGACTAGCGTATAGTGTATTAAGATCGCTAGGATAGCAGAGACCACAACCCCTACACCTCTACAGCCCTTAAGTATCCCCCCTTCCCCTCACAATATTCGACTTGTAGCATCCCCCCAGCCCAATTACCTAGCACACTGTGTGTCTTAGAATGCATACTGTGCTCACTCATATCATTTGTCGAATATTGTGAGGGGAAGGGGGGATACTTAAGGGCTGTAGAGGTGTAGGGGTTGCGGTCTCTGCTATCCTGGCGATCTTAATACACTATAAGCTAGTCATGATGTCGTGAATGGTGGCTCTAACCTCGTAGAATGGTGGTTGTGTGCTTTCACATGTAGATAAGCTACAAGCACAATCGTTGTGGAGGGGACAGGAGGCCGTGGGGGGTTATAAACGATGTAGGGGTTGCAATTCGATACAGCTGGAGCGATTTACGTGCACTATGAGCAAGTCGCACATAGTGGCTGAAACCTGTACTTTTAGGTGTGGATTTTACCGCCACTCTGACCCAATTGCTAGCATTTACACGAATGACTTGTCGTTGAGCTCCACACACAGCTGTACGTTTTACTTCTTAACTTTCACGCAAAGTCACATTGCACACACATAACGCATACTAATACAAAGGAGTATCACAGGGCTACGTCAAATTGCTAGCTCAACTGCTGGCATGGTTGAGGACTCTAGAATGCTTGTCTTGCCTTACTAGCAGAAATGGATTTGGTCATCGTTGATGTGAGCAACAACGACGGGCTAGTCCTCTAGTATATATACTGTATCAGCTCCTCTCGTTATCACTGTGTTAGTTGTGAATAAGGTACCTGCAAAGCAAATCTAGTTAGTACATCGGTCATGTTGCGAGGAGTATCGACCGAGGCTGGTTAAGCCTTGGAAATACCAAAAAGTGATTAGGTGGTTAGTCTAGCCTATTGAATGGACTCTGTAGTCCTTGACGTCTCTGTCTTGGTTCTTGTATGTGTGATACATATGGTGGAGGGGCTGGCATGATCGAGTATGGGTCATGGGACCAACATTCCTCAACACTCGCCTATGTTGATACCTGAGGACGAGAAGTGCCAGTAGAACGAGCACACGACGCGCCTTGATTGGTCGACCTTTTGATTCCTTGATCCTGATTGGGGGGACCTGGGGGTCTTGAAGTTGTCGATTGAGTGCCGGGTCGGTATCTCAGTGAGTGCGTCGGCGAGTTGGTCGGCTCTACCAACGTGGTGGACGCTCAGGCGGCCAGCTACAATGACTTGGCGAATCCAATGGTGCCGCACTTCGATGTGCTTGCTGCGCTCGCTGATGGCCGTTGTCTCTGCCGTGCCTAGTGGGACGAAAAATTAGGTTTTTTTTAATTCAGCAGAGAAAGCTCTGATACAGTTTGAGGACGTGATTCCACGGGCCTTACACAGCACAAGCAACCTCATGCCGCCCAAGAAGAAGGCGAACACACCCTTTCAGGATGTCACGCGTATGGTAGCGACCGCCGAGAACCGAGTTCTCCGGATCTGGTGCGCACCGCACCAAATCGATCTAGTCGTCAAGCAGGCCACGGAGTGCGTGGCAGATGGCACGTGAATCAAATTCACCGGCCCTTCGCGATCTTCATGTATCAGCAGACCAACCTCACGAAGCGCATGAACGTCAGTGTCCCAAGCAGTCAAACCAGTGGACCCACCTCGGCCGCCTACTCACGATCCAGAAGAGCAACCGCCTAGAGCCGATGGAGTTCAGCGTTGAGAAACGTCCGGACAACGCGCGACCTGCGAACGGTGGCTCATGACGTTCTGCATCGCCCCGATCATCGATGTCGTCAACATCACGTTCGCCATTCTGCCGAGCCGGTCCCTGCGCATCGCGCAGTAGGCGTTGCACATCTACGCGCAGGTCGGCACGGTGACAGATATGCTCAACGTCGCGATCGTGGACCAGGGCGAGTTCAACGACGAGGAGCACGAGTCGTTTGATTCGATGCCCATCTTGGTCGACTCGATTCTTCATTTGCCAGGAAGTGCTACGACAAGCTGAACCCGGACGAGCAAGTCGTCGTCGTCCGCGAAATTGTCGAGTACACCATCACGGTGATCAGGGGCTTCGTACCGATCGTGATGATAGCAATAATCCGCTGGAAACCGACGCACCGCCGGTGCTACATGGCGTGTGGGTACGACGTGCTCACACCGCACTAGATGAGGAGATCGATCAGCTCGAGGCACTGAAGAAGTATTATCACAACGACGAGATTCCGCGCCCAGCCATTGACTCGCACGACTAGAACACAATCTTCGACGACGCCTGGAGCGTCTGTCCTGGGAAGTGTAACCACCTGTGCGCCTTCAGTGGCCGCCTGGCCACCTCTGCTTCGCCAATACCGTCGCTGACGAGAGCGATATCTCCATCCTCACATGGGAGATGGACGAGAATCGCACGGATGTATCTGTCCCTGGAAGGTGTCGTCCAGGCCAAGCAGAAAACGATGATGCCAGTAGTATAAACATCACGACGATCCCTTTTGGCACCTTAAAATGGACGTTTTTGGCACCTTAAACCGCCTTTATGTGTAAGACGACAAACTAACACTGGCGAGGACGACAAAATAAACTAATTTGTTTATTTCGTCGTAAACGACAATTTTAGGAGGCCTGCCCAAACCACTCTCACCACTTGACTTTTTCAACAGGCGTTTTGTCCATATGACTCCCTCCCAATTCCGTGCCTGCCATCCAACTACTAGACCTCTTGATTATAGTTTAATATTTTAACCAGTGACTGTACACTTTACTAGAACAATTATGCGTTCTTGGAAGGATTTTTATGACTGGCTATTGATCAAGATGATAGTATATAACCGGATCATTTAGCATGGATTCATTACGAGAGAATTGGTTAGATCTTCTCGTTCACAGTCAATCGTTTGTCAGTCATTCACTGTTTTCGAAAATCACTCCATCGTTTACATGAGCGTTGGTTGGCCACAAAAACTCTCATAAAGCAACTAAAATAAACTATCAGATGCAAGTAATTCTTTCAAAGCCAACCATCACACCACAAACACAGACCTCGAGGCCAACCACCACACCACACACACAGGCCTAGCAGCCAACCACTCATTGCCCAATAACCACCATGCCCCCCAGAGCAACACATCGATCCCAACTGACGGTTCGAAACATCAATCAAAGGGTGGCTCTACTCGAGAGTCTTGACCAACAGCGCCGAGCAAAACGCTCACGATACTCGACTGTTCGAGAGGATTAACCAGATGACGATCTGGACTCTGCGTCGCCTGTGTTTGACGCCTTCTTCAACGCCAGGGGGGGCGATGGCATCATGACGATGACGTACTTCAGTCCGTCTGAGTTCAACGTACTGTGGGCGGACATACGTATGTACGTCAACAAGTCGTGGAATGTTGGGTCCGGTCGGAAGTGCGACGTCTCGAATCGAGACATGCTCGTCATGCTGCTGACAACCATGAAAACTGGCGGTTCATGGGACATTGTGGCAACCATCTTCAAGGAAGCAAGCCCGACTTTCCAGAAGCGGGTGATGAACTTTGTCAGAGTGCTCCATCCTTTTGTCATGCGTAAGAATGTCAACGCACTGGCCGACAAATGGACTATGCTTCTGCTTTCTACAAGTGGGCAGCGGTTTGCCAACTACCCCTACGCGTGCTACGCAACAGACGTGACCTTCCAGCAGACCAACGTTCCGCCCGACAGCTATGCCGACAAGAATGTGTACTACAGTGGGAAACACTCATTGTACGGTCACAAAGTTGAGTTGTCCGTCTTGCCCAACGGCTTTGCGATCAATTGCACCAAGCACTACAAGGGGAGTGTGTCAGACAAGACAATCTTTGATGAAAACCTGGATTTTCACATGGCCAGCCTTACCAAGCAAGCGAACGAAGATGGCATCGATGAGCCCGACCATGCAACACGGCAGTGGGCCGTACTCACTGACAGGGGCTACCAAGGCATCTAAGGAGACCTTCGGGCAGTCATTCCCATCAAGAAACCAGCCGGAGGAATCCTCACGATGGACGACATACAAACCAACGACCGCATCGCGACGGACCGCGTCATTGTCGAGAATTTCATTGGGCGCCTGAAGACGCTATGGTCCATATGCAGTGACTGCTACCGTTGGACACGTCAGAACTATGATGTTTTGTTCCGAACCTGTGTGGCGATGACGAACGTGCACATCCGCATGCATCCACTTCGTGCGGACGATGGCGACGTGAACGTTAGTACGTGAACCGCTTGAACGCTATTGGAACGAAGACCGTCAAGGGTAAGAAGTCCTCGGCACGTACTTATCGATCGAAACGGAAGGCCAGGCTGTCGTTGATCATGGCAGCAGAAAGCTAAATGGCTGCTGGTGATGCGGGCGGAAGCGACACAGATTTGGGATCCAACAGCGAAAATGAAAGTAGCAGTAGATTGTTCTTTTAAGATTATTCCCTATATTGTTTCCGTTAGGCATTGTGTACTTGGTTTGGATAATTCCTATGTGGTTTTAACAAATTGTGATGGGTTAAATTGTGATGGGTTAAATTGTGATGGGTTAAATTGGGGCTTTTTGTTATAAATTTACCTTAACAAGTAATCAAAATAGGTTAGAATAGGTTTTAACCATTGGAAATACCTGAACTACTTTTGGATTGGTAAATTGTCATAGCATCTCTATAATTTTTGAATGCTGATTATATGATAAAGTAGTAACTGTTCAGTCAGTACTTCACTCTCTGAGTTAGAGGTCTACTACAGAGTGTACGTATATGCTCGAAGGAACTCTGTAGCAATAGAACTGCTGTTGGTATGATGGAATCTGGTGTAGACTGCTATAAATAGACAATGCCATTGGCCGAACACATACAGTAGCAGCTGATATCGATAATTGGATGGTCGACAAGAATCACCTTTCAGAATTGACGGTACATACCTGCGTTGACCTCTTGATAACCGATCACCGATCAAGTCCAATGCCAATATACTAGTACAAAATAAACACTTCGGATTCAGACGCCCGCTCACAATTCCCATTTCTAAACAACCATCGGCAAGTACCCTTATGTGACTGGTCTCCGCCGCACTGAAACCGGCTCGTCCGGATGCGGCGCGTCGTTGGTGGCCCCCAAGATCCTGATCACGGCGGCCCATTGCTCGTCGTCTGCGTGGGCCACGTTTGCCTCTATTGGGTCGCACTACTTGAACGGCACCAAGGATGGCGAGCGCATCAAGATCGTCAAGCGCACTGTGCACCCTAAGTACAACAAGGCCACTCGCTTCGACTACGACATTGCCGTGTTCGAATTGGAGACCGCGTCATCGTTCCCGCCCATCAAGCTCAACTGGGACGAAGACCACTTCTCCGCCCCGGGCGTTGTGTCGTGGGTGCGCACGACCAAGTCGGGCGGATCACAATCCCCCGTCTTGCTCGAAGCCGATGTCCCCATCTACTCGAACGCTGCCTGTCAAAAGGCCTTGTCCGCCTACAATTACAACATCACGGCCTCCATGATCTGTGCTGGCGGGGGATTCAAGGACACGTGCCAAGGCGACTCGGGTGGACCGTTGACTGTTACCCGCAACGGCATCGAGTACTTGGCCGGTGTGACCAGCTGGGGCATTGGCTGCGCGAACCCTGGCCTCCCGGGTGTGTACGCCCGGATCTCGGAAGCGCGTGACTTCATTGAACCGTTCCTGCCCAAACCTGCTTGCTAAATTCGTCGTTGTACATGTGTAGTAAGCTAAGCTCCTTTTGTTGTTTGAGAGGGATGCAACCCGCGTACGTAAATGTCGTTATTCATAACTTCTTAAGTTACTGTACATAGCACAGGTAGTATATACTATTTACCTAAACTACTCTTCTCATTAATGTAGCTTTTTAAGCTCGCGTTTGTAAGGGTCAAAAAGTGTCATTTGTTTTTAACTATGGTGAAATTTCAAATGACGTCGTTTTTAAAATGAAATCTGATTTGCCTGATGGTGATCGCTCGACGAATGGCCCAGATTGCCATATTTACACTTTTCAAATGCCTTTGGACATTTTGGATCAGAAATCGCCGAATTTAATGATGTGCTTTCAGAAATGACGACCAAAGAGTCAAGGTTGTCATGTATGAATGAAAAGTGTTAGTAGACAATATTTCAACAAACAGCAATGAGGTTGTGGAAGTGATGATGTCATTTCCAATACGAATGTCAAGTCATTTGGTCGTGTAGGAGGAACGGCACTCCCACTTAAATGCGATACTTAAACCAAGTAGAAATGTCCACTGACCTGCCATATGTTTGTTTCGAGTACTGTACATATATAAGTAACCCGATATATTTCGTCCAGAGCAGTCAGAAAACTCAGTTTTCAACAGGAAAACACAATAACTAAGACGCAACTATTCTATTCGGTTAAATATTGTTGTTGTGATATTGCAATTCACAAACCAGCCATATTATGTCCCGTGTAGTCAGATAACACTACTTTCAAAGGCAATGAATGACACAACTATTCCATTGGTTATATATTGGTATATAATTATCCTCCAATACAATGCTCGAATGGCATGGCGTCATTCGAGAATTGTGTTGAAGGATGCAAGGTGTACATTCATGTCATGCATGTTCTTCTCGGTGTTCATGTCCATGCTCTGCTCTATGTTTATGTCCATACATGTTCTTCTCAGTGTTAGGATAAAATAGCAATCTGAGTGGGTCCAAAGTGACGGACTGACGAAGTGCACTGCAACACACACGTGGAGGCATTGCACACCGTGCCTACCCCGACATTAAGTTGCTCCCTGCGGTTTCCTTAGCGCTCACTACTCAAGCAGTGCACTGTAGTTTTTACTGCGTACTTCCTCTGTTCCAGGTTACTGCCGACATTTACTTTGAATTGACACAGACAATCGAACCCTCACTCAATTTGGTGAAGGATACAGTGTTTGAAAGGGAATTGCATGAATTTTCGCAAAATATTGGTTTAAAATCAGCGCTTAAAGCTATTGTAAACCAGTGAAATATCATAAATATTGGATATTGAGAGAAATCGAATAATTACAGCCAATGAAATGCAAATGTGGCCAGTACTTCAAGTACTTGCGTAGTGAACTTCGTGTGAAACTATATCTGACCTACCTGCGAAAAATCCTTTTTATGTAGATAGTATTTCCATTATATAATGGGATGTTTGTGTCGTACTTGTGTAAAACGTGAATCTACGTCCATGGTATCCTTGGTAAGATAATCAACCATACTATCAGCATGCTGTTAGTTGGGAATTGAAATCAAATGGCAAATGTCTATCTGGCACTGATGTCGTTTGATTAGGCAAGAAGGAATTGAAAGCTAAGGCTACGGCCAAGCCAGTCTGAAAAATGTAAATTTTGCTGATGTAGTGATGTACTTTGAAGATTTTTACATTTCTACATCAGCCGGTGGGGATGCTCTAAGCTAGTAAGTACTACAGGGAACGACGTTGAATAGCGCCGCGCAGTTTTCGTAGTACACACGGTCATTACTTACCAATCAAAACTTTGGAACAAAAATACTGACATATGATTGGCTGCAACAAATTGCGGCACTTTTAAAGACCGCCATCAACCTCTGCAACTTCATCAACTCTTCTTATGGCTACTGAGCTGGTGCTCGTACAGCCGCACTGTATCAAACGGCGAGCACGACCAACAATAGCCCAGAAGCTGAATGCTATGACCATCGCCGCAACGTCAAGCGTGAGGGAGGCTGCTTTCCTTCTGGGATATAACAAAAGGAGTGTGCGTGAATGGATCCATGACCAGGCCAAGCTGTCCCAGTTCAAAGTTCCGAGGCGCGCAAGCGCAACACGGGCAACAATGGTGTGGTACTGATCTTACCTGACGCTCACGCACTTGTGACCCACATGAAAGACCTCCGGCGCCAAGAGTTGGCGGTGACATCGGCCCACATGATGCAGTTCTTACCGCTGGACCACATGGCGTGGATTGAAAACTACATGGCCACCCGAAAGACCGGTTACCAGTCGCTTCTGCGCTTGCTTCAGCACTTTGCTGGCCGCCATGGGTTCTCAAAACAACGGATCTACCGAAAGAAAAAGACCCAAGATGACCTCGAACTCACGAGGCTTGCTTTTGGCAAGAAGTTCCAAGAGGGAGTACCCGGATGTCGACTGGGGATGTGTCTACAATGCGGATGAAACCGGGATGTACTATGACATGTGCCCGAGTACCATATGTGCCATCCGTAGTGGCGGAAGCTACGTGGCCAACTCCGAGAGTCACTCATACCGCATGACCGCTTTGCTGACGGTTCGCCGTGATGGTTTCAAGGTTCCGATTCTCTTCGTCATTCGTGGTGAATCGGTGGTGGCATCGAGACCAATGAGTTCGACGACTACTCTGCGGGACACTATTATGCGATGCAGAAGAAGGCGTGGATGAACGGCTCCGTTTGGAAGTACTACCTGCGTGAAGTGCTGAGCCAGAGCATTGAAAACCCGTCCATCCTTCTGGTCGACTACTTTGACAGCGACATGTTAGCGAGGAGAGCGAATGCATCGTGAAAGATGAGCTTGGCTCTGAGTTGTGTCTGCTCCCACCTAGCACTACCACACATTGTCAGCCACTGGACGTGTATAATGGGGACTTTCAAGCAACACGTGCGTGATTTGTGGGTTTTGTCGCCAAGCACAGCAACTACAGCTAAAGAGAAGCGCATTGTTACAGTATGATTGAACGAGCCATCAAAGCGTGGGATATGATCACTGGGCCTGAAGTGCGTGCAAGTTTCATCAAGGCGTTACCGAAATCGGAGTAGGATACAGGAATGATTGTATCTAATGAATGTTTTTTTACTTCAAATTTGTAAGGAAAAATTGTGTCCATGACTCGATTTGAAGTGGGGTCCAATTGCAATGACCGGTACGATTAGTTTTCACGCATTTTATATACGGACACACGGGCATGCTGGGAGTGAGCATTGCGGGGCTCTTGGTCCATCTGTTCAAGCTTGAAATTGGGGGGGGGTCCTGAGTGACCCTATGGCTGGTCCATCGACCCAATCCGTTTTCTATTTATTGTTAAACATGACTTGATTAAAGTATCAGTTTAATTAATTTTGATTGTTCTTGTCACATATTATTGGTCATCAAATATTTGCACATCGTTTAGACTTGCAGGTGTAACGCATTTGCAACACATCGCTCGAATAACATGTGATTGTGAAAACTGTGGAAGCGAAATCCAAAGTAGTACTAAATGTAGACGACAAAACCGTATGTACCAATAACCATTAATACATAGTATTTTGTTTCTATTCTTCATGGCGAACTCCATTATATTATTACCTACCTAAGATTACCCACAATTGGTCAAATCGAACAGGCAGCCTGACAAATCACAGCATGATTGTGCGGAGCTAGCTATTCAACCGTCGTTCCCTGTATATATCCACCATGGACAGGAATGTCGGCCAGTTCCAACTGTCCACGTTCTATACTGTACTAGTACTGTATGTATTAGCAACGAAATACTAGTAATATTACACGTAAAATAGTACTCCCTCCCACAATAATGGCTCGACCTTGGGGAGGGTGTACATGTCTCGTCATTATATTTGTAGGGAAAATTCAAATGTGTCTGCACCCCGCTCCAGAGCGGATTAAATAGTTCAGATTGGTCTACGAGAAACAGCGCACCACGAGCTCTAACATGATGTACCTGGACCGCGAGAAATGATTCGTACCATAGCGTAACCAATTTTAAAGCTCAAAATTTCAATACATAAATCTATATAAGACCATCTTTCTTAGCCATACGTTCATCACCATGTCACTTAAAATGGGAGCTGGAAGGCGGGGCCTGACAAACGACGAGAGTGAAGCCATCCTTCGTGAAACGCTAGTTTGAGGTATCGGTGGAGTGATCCACGATTGATTCCTAGATTGTTCGTAAGTATATTGCACGCACCAAATACTCCTACTCGTGACATGTGTACAGTAGCTGCAGCTGCTCATAACAGTGGTCGACAGCTGTGAGGGGGCCTTTGGGAATAATTATTGCTGCATAAATGCTAGCGATAAACAGTTAATATGAACATTGTAGCTCACAGGCCAAGTCAAGCTACAAAGTGAGCAATTAAACACATCTTAAATGTTGATATTCTTGTTAAAGCGATGTTGCAAAGTTTCAACATGAGTTATTTTTCAAAGTATTATATAATATAATTCCATATCTAATAAACGCGTTTTTCATTCTATAAAAATAAGTGAAAATCATTCTATAAAAATAAGTGAAAATCTGAGAAAAATCCTTTCATAATCGATACATATTATCAGAAGCCCCCTCGCAGCTGTCGACTACTGTAAGCGAGGATGTGCGCATTCTACTGTAATGCGATTCGTCCTCATTTGACGGAGGCGAACAAGGGAAACTATGGGAAAACGTTCCGTTCAGCATAGACTGAAAACCGTTCAAGCAATTTTCTTCCCGTAACCCTGTAACCCCGGGACTTCGTCCTACCCCCGCGTGCACATACTTCGAAGTATAATGCTTAACCCCTAGTACGAGTTGAGGTGGTCAGAGTACAAAACATATGCCTCATCTAACTAGAGTTTATTAGTATGAATGGTTTCAGTCAAGGGTATTCAGATTTGTTGAGCGTTTTTCATTTCCTGTGAGACAATTTTGTACCGTTACACCTCCAAAAATGAATCATTATCTTTGGCAGTGAAATGTATTTTTTTTCGAGAAGCCATATACAGTATCAAAATTCTGATATTGTGGGACGGAGGGAGTAGAACCGTACTTCGTAGTAGTACAGTAAGCTGATGTAATTTTTTCGTTGTATCAGTATCCTGCTGTACCATACTACTCCGGAGTACTCCGGAGTACTACTAGTACTGTATACAGTAGAACCACTGCTGCTACAAGCGATGTAGACTGCTATAAATTGACGAGGCCAATGTCCGACATATACAGTACGTACAGTAGGAGGTGCAATTGACACTTGGTGGACAAGAATCACCCTTTGGCATTCGTGGTACCTACGTTTTTCTGAAGCCTCTAAATAATCCAACTTGCTATGAAGTCCAATACCGAAAAGGAACACTTCAGATTCGAACGCATCACAACCCCCTTTTCTAAACAATTCCGTGGTGCAAGATAAATCCCATTACTGTACGACCCGGCAATTTTCATGTAAATACTGTGCAGGTAAGCTTACTGTACAGTACGGTCGTTACAGTATGGATAAGCTTGCTTTGAATTGTGAACCAACGGCGTCGAGGCCGCATTATGCTTAGTATACGAGTACTGTACTAGTGCAAGCTAGACAATCAAGTGTTAATCAATGAATGCATGTTACTTGTTACTACCGTAGTACTCAGTAGAACTTGCATCCACTAAACCTGTTTCTAAATAATATAGTGGGATTATACATCGTGGTACAGTACGACCAATTCTCTCATTAAATAACAACGCACACTCGTTGCTAGGGGTTCGGCTGCCAGTCACTACACCCCGAAGAAGAATAAACAGTATATTTAGCTACCAGAGCTGGGGTTCCGAGGTCCCAGGGCCCTTGGGTAGTTGCAATTGCTTTGTCACGCCAAACAATGTACTTAACGTTAGTCAGGGTCGGGTTGTTGGTGAATTCCATGATAATATCGTTGAAATATTATCAATTCGTGAGCTGCCAATTGGGTACAACGTAGTGAACAGGCTACAATACGGAGATGATGGTTTCCCTAATACGAACCATCCAATCACGCTAGAATGACACGCTGTGCTGCGCTCCACGTCAAGCTTTGTCCCTCGTTCATCATCACGCTTCCGACTTCATTTTCCATTTCACGTTGCCATGGTCAAGTTCGTCGCCCTCGCTGCCGTTGCCGCCTCCGCGGTTGCTCAAATTGAAATCGTCAACGGCACCGAAGTGCCCATCGGCAAGTACACGTACGTCACCGGCCTTCGCTACACCGCAGCAGGAGCGGCGAGCTGCGGTGCGTCGTTGGTTGCCCCCAAGATACTGGTCACGGCGGCCCACTGCTCGCCTGTCATGACTGTGTATGCGTCTGTCGGGTCGCACTACTTGAATGGCACTAAGGACGGTGAACGCATCAAGATTGTCAAGCGCACCGTGCACCCCAAGTACAACAAGGCCACTCGCTACGACTACGACTTTGCCGTGCTCGAACTGGAAACCGCGTCGTCGTTCCCCCCCGTCAAGATCAACTGGGACCAAGACGCGTCTGTCGCCCCCGGGATTGTCTCGTGGATTCGAGGCTTCGGCAACGCCCAGTTAGGCGGGTTGCAATCCCCCGTCTTGCTCGAAGCGGATGTACCTATCTGGTCCAACGCCAATTGCCAAAAGGCCGTCGCCCCATACAACTACACTATCACGCCGTCCATGCTCTGTGCCGGCGGTGCCGACAAGGACACCTGCCAAGGCGACTCGGGCGGACCGTTGACTGTCACCCGCAACGGCATCGAGTACTTGGCCGGTGTGACCAGCTGGGGTATTGGCTGCGCTCGCCCTGGCCTCCCTGGTGTGTACGCCCGGATCTCAGAAGCGCGTGACTTCATTGAACCGTTCCTGCCCAAACCTGCTTGCTAAATTCGTGATTGTAGATCTGTAGTAAGCTCCCTGTGTTGATTGAGAGAGAGAGATATAATCTGCACATATATGACGTGATTCTATAGAGTACGTGGTCGTGTAGTGTATACTTACTGCTTAATCCATCCACGATGTGGATTGATTTGAAAGTCTAGCATTGAAGACATATCAACCACCATGGGAATTTCGACTAGTCTCAAGGTGTTTAGGTTCTTAGACTAAATTAGACGGACGACAATTTGACTTGGCTTTACAGTGGCCTTGTATTCTCCACTGACTCCATCAAGGGATCGACAAATTATGGACAAGGTGGTGTAAGTTAACGTTACTCTTCCCAAAACTTCGAGGTTTCGAACCATATCGCTAAAATCACATGCGTTATTGAGACACACACTACGTTTCATATTGACAATAGCATTATGAGTCCCACTGCTTTGATGTATAGTGTATTCAAGGCTAAATTAGGGCCATCGACTAATCTTCTCAAAATTCACAATTTTGACTTATACCAGCAATAACTTGGTGAAGCATTCATCGAATCCTTGAAAGTTTGCTTTACGTTGTAGCGCGTTCAAACGTCTATAACAGCATAGTTCAAACTTCTATAACAGCATACTTCCAATCGTCTTATTTGTTGAGAGAGCGTAAAAAAGCTAAGGCGTCCATTTTCAGCCCATCTACTGGTTTTTTACGTCTGTCGGTAGATTTGCCAAGAACAGTTCCTAGCTTACCATTAATCGTATTGATACTCTCCATGCAAGGAGGTTCAAAACTTACAGTGAATTGGGGGCAAATGGTACGGTTGTCGAGTGCTATCGAAGGTTTGTGGATGTATAGTTATCATACAGTTGCATACTAATGGACAAGCATTAGCCAGGGCATTCCGTTTCGACTTGAGTGGCACCAATTAGATTGCGCTACAGCGACGACAACAACACATGGCAAATGCAGTGATCTGAATGCGAGAATGTGTCAGAATCAAGTCCAATTTCACGTTGGAAATCAACTCAAACGAGCAACATGATAGACCGAATTCATCACACGCTTAACTTTACCAAGTGCACGAGTGTTTTGAACGCAATCATAAATTGGCAGTTGAATGCTACTTGTAACAGGGAAGTTCCATAAATGTCCTAATTACGCCAACCACACAATCTGAGTACGGGTACATATGTTGTTGTGCATAGGTACTATAGTAGTATACTGTAGTACTGTATGCTAGCACTTTTGCTACGAATTGTCGACCAGCCCAATAATCAAGGCAAGGTTGCGGTTAGTGCAAGCAACGAACACAAGTCACCCGAGCATTAACGCTGCGCTAGCACGATAAGTCGTTCGTCGAAGCATTCTATGTAGAGCCGTATATCGCCTACACAATTCTCGACAACCACGTGCATTCTGATCAAAACCAGGTACAGAAGGGGCGAAGTGCTATAAATTGAAAACTACAGTGTATGTCGGCCCAGTACGGGCGGCCCAATCAAAATAGTCTAGCTATGATTACAGTTTAATTGTGCCTACTCGGAGTAGTATACTTGGTGTATGACCAACGAATTATTTTGTCAGGGTATGAACATAATACTTTTCTAGCTAGCAAATCTCCACGTTTCGTTCGCATTACACAACCTGGACATTTCAGCAACACAGCCTTTCAACCTCTCGTTGCCATGTAGTTGTACGTCACAAGGACACATGGGTGGTGCTGGCCCAACAACACCTTGTTCAACCTTTCTGGTTCTGATCAACCAAACCAAATCCACCCCACCACGTCCCCTACCACATTATCATTCGTCT